AATGTAGTGCTTGTCACTGATATTAAAAAAAAGCCTGTGATATTTGTAAACTGATTTTGTATTCTGCCACTTTGCCAAAAGTGTTGATCATTTTCAGAAGTTTTCTGGTGGAATTTTTGGAACATCTTATGTATACTAGCATATCATCTACAAATAAGAATAATTTGAATTCTTTTCCAATTGGTACCCTTTAATTTCCTTCTCTTGTCTTACTGCTCTAGCTAGGTTTTCAAGCACTACATTGAAAAGGACAACCTAGTCTCCTTTCTGATTTTAATGGAAATGCTTTGTTTTTCTCCATTTACAATTATGTTAACTGTGGGTTTATTGTATATACACTTAATTATGTTGAATTATGTTTGCTCCATTCCAATTCTCTCTAGGATTTTTATCATGAAGGCATGTTGGATTTTGAAATTTTCAAAGGCTTTTGGCACCTTTTGAAATGATCATGGGCTTCTTGTCTTTAAGTCCATTTATGTGATTTATTACATTTTTTATGTATATTGAAGAGTCCCTACATCTTTGGAATAAAGCCAACTTGATCATGGTGGTAATCTTTTTGATATGTGGTTGTTTGAAGTTTGCAAGTATTTTACTGAGAATTTTTGCATCTAAGTTCTTTGGGGATTTTGGCCTGCAGTCTTCTTCTTTTGTTGTTGTTTGTTGATGTTGTTGTTCTATCTACCTGGTTTGAGTATTAGAGTAATATTGACTTTGTAGGAGTTTGGGAATTCTCCCTCTGTTTCTTTCTCCTTTTTAAAAATAATTTAAGCAGTATTGGTTATAGTTCTTCTTTGAAGTTCTTGTAAAATTCTTCTGTGAATCCTTCTGGACCTGGGTTTCTCTTAGTCAGGAGTTTAACAGCATGTTGCATGTTATAAGGTCTCCAGAACAAAAATGCAGCCCAGACAAACTTAATTTGGAATCAGCAAGACCTCATGGAACACCTTTCCTCCAGAGCTGTAGAATAGTAGATCTGTGTTGTGTTAAGCCACAGTTTCCCAAACATTTGTATATTTCTGTGCTTATTTACTAAATATCACCTTCTCTTTGGTTAAGGCTTTCAGCCTGTTCTTTCCGTGCCAGCAAGGATAAATGAGCAGGCGATGTGGTTGAGTGGGGAATGGAATGAGCATCTCAGATACCATGATTGTGAACAGAGGAATAGGAACCTAAGGCAAGAAGTCCCTTCCCCCATCTCCTCTCCTCCTTACAATCTTATAGAATGATGGGAGTTTCCCCTCATAGATGAATGACCTTGGACAAATGGTTCAACCCTCTGAATCTCCATTCATTTGCATAGAAAGTGGGAACCGTGTCTGAAGGGGTGATTAGAGATATGTGATAGGATGATGTAGGTCAAATGTGGCACTTCTACCAGTCAGAATTGCCTCCCATCCTGAAATTAGCTGAAGATCATTCTTGTCCAAGAAAGTCTTAAAAATGAAAACAAAATTCATCTCCTCTTGCTAGCATTCTCAGTGACTGGATTCCATTTCACAAGGCTAACTTTTCATCTGGTATTCTGAGCCGTCTTACAAGCACCCTCTCCCAGGCTACCAGTAGCTCTCCTAAGCCTCTACTTATTCTGTCCCCTTTGATTGACAGCCTTTCTCTTTCATCTGCTCCATTACCACACAGAAAATATTTACCATCTTCTTGCTGTTAGCCATGTGTTCTTCCCAGCGTTAACTGTAGCACTCTACAAGGAGCACCTTATACCGTCTCTACCACACTCATATTTGTTTGAACTATGCTCTCCTTCTTCTTCCTAGCTTTTGAGTAAATGCCTTGGAGGAAACTGGGTTAAGAAATGGTTGTTCATTGAGTAAATCAGTTTAACAATAAGCAAACAAATGAACAGAAGCTCCATATAAAACTTGCTCCATGATTCTTAAAGATGTTCCTGGAAAAGTTGCTCCTTTCTGATGGTCTGGATCCCCTTCTGATGGTCAGGATGGAAATTTCTGAAAGCTAACTTTAGTTGCATTTCTAATAGTAAAGACATGAAAAATCTTGAA